CTTAATATTGTAACTGTAATTCTTGCTCGATAATTGTTTTGTTATATGTAATTTTACTATGTTAAAATTAAAACCTTCCTTTTTAAAAAAAAAAAGAAGAAAAGGGGAAGTGCTGTGGATATCACTCTATATAAATAAAACACTGATGGCCAGTGACCAGGCAGGAAGTATAGGCGGGACAAAGAGAAAGGAGAATTGGGGAAAAAGGAAGAAGGAGGAGAGACACTGCAGCCACCACCATGACCAGCAGCATGTAAAGACGCCGGTAAGCCACCAGCCATGTGGCAAGGTATAGATTTATAGAAATGGGTTAATTTAAGATATAAGAACAGGGGCTGGAGAGATGGCTCAGTGGTTAAGAGCACTGACTGCTCTTCCAGAGGTCCTGAGTTCAATTCCCAGCAACCACATGGTGGATCACAACCATCTATAATGAGATCTGGTGCCCTCTTCTGGCCTGCAGTCATACATGCTGTATACACAATAAATAAATAAATCTTTAAAAAAAAAAAAAGATATAAGAACAGTTAGCAAGAAGCCTGCCACGGCCATACAGTTTTTAAGCAATATAAGTCTCTGTGTTTACTTGTTTGGGTCTGAGCAGCTGTGGGACTGGCGGGTGACAAAGATTTGTCCTGACTATGGGCAAGGCAGGAAGACTCTAGCTACAGATAGTAGGCAAAAATATAAGTACATGATGTAGAGTTTTTTTCCTCATGATGTTTCAAGATTTTCTTTGGTGGATAAAACAAAGATAATAAACCTGACAGCATTAGTTACTCAAAGGTTGAAGCAGAGGAATGAAACAGAAAGGGAACACACAAAATTGAGATGCCAGAACCTGGAAACAACCTAGATGCCCTTCAACTGAAGAATGGATAAATAAAATGTGGTACATATACACAATGGAATACTACTCATCAGAGAAAAACAATGACATCATGAGGTTTGCAGGCAAATGGGTGGATCTAGAAAAAATCATCCTGAATGAGGTAACCCAGACTCAGAAAGACAAATATGGTATGTACTCATTCATAGGAGGATACTAGATGTGGAACAAGGATGACTGGACTGCTACCCACATCACCAGTGAGGCTACCTGGAAAACAGGACCCCAAGAAAGACACGGGGATCACCCAATGATGGAGAAATGGATGAGATCTACATGAACAGCCTGGACGTGAGTGGGTGTAATGAAGGGTGAGGGTCGAGGGAAAGAGAGCTTGGGGGAGCGGCAGATCCCAGCTGGATCAAGAACAGAGAGGGAGAACAAGGAATAGGAGACCATGGTAAATGAAGACCACATGAGAAAAGGAAGAAGCAAAATGGTAGAGAGGCCCACAGAAATCCACAAAGATGCCCCTGCAATAGACTGCTGGCAATGGTCAAGAGACAGCCCGAACTGACCTACTCTGGTCATGGGATGGACAAACACCCTAATTGTCATGCTAGAAACCCCATCCAATGACTGAGGGAACCAGATGCAGAGATCCACAGCCAGGCCCCGGGTGGAACTCTGGGAGCCCAATTGGCAAGAAAGAAGAGGGTTTGTATGAATGAGAATTGTTGAGACCAAGGTTGGATAAAGCACAGGGACAAATAGCCAAACGAATGGAAACACATGAACTATGAACCAATAGCTGAGGAGCCCCCAACTGGATCAGGCCCTCTGAATAGGTGAGACAGTTGATTGGCTTGATCTGTTTGGGAGGCATCCAGGCAGTGGGACCGGGTCCTGTACTCAGTGCATGAGTTGGCTGTTTGAAACCTGGGACTTATACAGGGACACTTGGCTCAGCCTGGGAGGAGGGGACTGGACCTGCCTGGATTGAGTCTACCAGGTTGATCTCAATCCTCGGGGGAGTCTTTGCCCTGGGGAAGATGGGAATGGGGGTGGGCTGGGGGGAAGGGGAGGGCTGCGGGAGGGGGCAGAACAAGGGAATCCATGGCTGATATGTAGAATTAAATTATATTGTAAAATAAAATAATAATAAAAAAAGAAAAATTGAGATGGCACACTGAAGATCACATTGAATGCAAATGTCTAAATACAATCTAAGAAATTCCCCAAATAATAAACATTTATATGTTAGGGCTACTAATGTGTATTAGTAACATCAGTCAGCTTTCTCGGGCTAGTCTCCCTTTCTCTTTCCTGCCTAGTCATAATTTTTTATTACACTTTATTTACTTATTTATTTATCGTATGAGAGAGAGAAAGAACATAGCTAAGTGAACACATGTCATAGCATGAGTGTGGAGAAAAGATGAAAATTTCAGATCTATCCACCATGTCTGTCCCAAGAATCAAGCTTAAGTTGTCAGGTCTGGCAGCAAGTTCTTTCATCTGTGAAGCCCTCTCACCGGCCCTTCCCTACTTTCTTTCTTGACTTTTCTGTAGCATATCTCAATGCCTTTCTGGCCTCAGGTTCACATCACACAAGGTTCTCCATCATGACTTACTCACTCAAAGACATTTTGCACATATAAAATAAATACCAGATCTCCAGACTGCAGAATAGAGGAATGTGCCTTGGATGTCAAGTTAGGTGCTGCTTATCCTACTGGAGTCTTGGGAATGTTTACTTTATTTACTAGTGTAGCTGAGGAAATCGAGATGAAAGCCAGAGTTTTAACAGAACTAAGGGTCTGTATACGTGTATTTTTCTTTGCATTTTGGGATTGCCTAAATGTGATTTATTGGTGAAGACAACAACTCATAAAATAAAAACCACCTAGCAGGATCATACATGAATTGTTTGTAAACTGCTGTGCTCAGATATTAGCAAGTCATATCTGCTGCCTAAGTACTAAGATGTGCTAAGACACTCCCATGATGAGTTGTTCCATTTTTCTTTTTATTGTTGCTCAGACTCATCTTCACTCAGGTTTATAATTAAGCAAGTACTCTGTCATATGTAACTCCCCACATCTGAAACTTGAGACAGAATTTCTTTCAAGACGAATTACATTTATCTCAATTAATGAGTCATTATGTTTCATTTCTACTGCCAAGTGCACATTACCATTTATTCATTATGATATGCTGAATCCAGAAACTTCAGTGAGTGCCAAAAATATCATTTCTCCTCTCTCCACATTTTTCCCTCCCGGGACATAAGCATGTCTGTTCACTCACCCCAGCTCTGACCAACATGTCTGCTGTTTCCATCCCAGCTACTTGGCTGCGGGGCTTGGGACTTTTGCATTTATGGGGTCAGATATCCAGAGACAATTTGCACTCCACCCAACACTCGTGGATTTGGATTCTGGTGTTATCGTTCAAACATACTTCCAGAAATGAAAGGTTATTTCACCAAATCCCCATGCCACCTGGTCCTATTTATTTATCCTTTGCATTTTCTCAGCCACACTGCAGCAGCCCACCTGGGAAGAAATGACAGAGGGTCTGGAGTGTGTAGTATAGGAGGCCATAGGAGTATACAGCAGGTGATAACTATTATTGAACAAGCCAACCCACCAGGAGAAGAACTCTCTGATGGGGAGCCCCACCTGGCAAAGCCGTGGAGTCACTGGCTGTGGAAACCAGTTGTTCTCTCTCTGTAACTTTCTCAGGTGACACCACTTACCTCACTAAAAAGAACAGCTGTGGGTTTTTTCCACAGCCCACTGGTAGTGTGTTTTACATCTTCAGGCCCATATATAGCTGTGCATGGTCAGAAAGATGATTTCTGTTTAAGTTGTGTAATTCTGGTGATTAGAAATAATACTAGAATATTCCTAATAACTGACAAAGGAAAATAACAGTATTCTCAGTCACAAAGACAGCTAATTTTAGATTTCAGAACAAATTCAAAACAGACTAGCTCTGCCCTTGCAGAGAATACACAAAGATAAGTCCCCGGGTGTTTATTGCTAAATCAAGGTTAGAACTGAAGCAACGTTGGTAGACATAACCCCCTGAAGTAATTCTCTTTCTGCACATACCCCAACCACTCAAGGTTCAGCCAACTGTTATTGTTAAGTCCTGAATTTCAATGTCACTCTCTGTCTGGGAACTCTAACTGCTCAGGCTACATGCTCGGCCAAGCGTTACTCACTGGCCAGTCAGCTCGACCTTCCTAGCCTGAAAAAACTGTGTTACTTATCATGTGTTATGAGAGTGGGTCAGATCTTGAAAATGTAACATATAATTGTCCAGAGTTTGGCTGTGAGAGGAGGAGGAAGAGAGTGTGTGAGTGAATGTGTGTGTGTGTGTGTGTGTGCGCACGCACTGAAAGAGAGATGTAGCTGAATATGAAGAAGTGAGAGTGAGTGAATGAGAGAATGAGTGAGGAAAGAGTGAGTGAACGATGTAGAAGGTGTGTGTGTGTGTGAGAGAGAGAGAGAGGAGAGAGAGAGAGAGAGAGAGAGAGAGAGAGAGAGAGAGAGAGAGAGAGTCTGTGAAAGAGCTGCTGCTGTGTAGAGGAGTGAAGAAACTGTGTAAAGAGCTGTGAAGGGAGTGTGTGAATGTGTTAGAGTGAGTGTGTAGGTGTGCATAGGGAGCACTGTGAATAGCTAGACAGGAAAAAGAGCAAGGGAGATTTTCAGAAAGAGATTCTGAGATGTATGTGTGTAACGAGAGATATATCGCTGTATGTAAAGAGATGTAGCTGTATGGAGACAGAAATTTTCAGAGAAAGATTTTTTAAGATGAAGTAAAAGAGAAAGTTACCATCAGAAAGCATGTGTTTCCATATTTTTTACTTCAGATAGAAAAAGTCTAGGCCTCAGTTAGATAAGAATTTTTCCTAGGCCCTCATTACATTTGTGGATTTTTATTTTTATTTTTTGGTATACCCTGGTGCTGAGTGGAAGCAGGACCTCCTTGTCACCGATAGCAGAGAGTGTTACTATGATTGGATTTGGCTGGCCTCCTGACCTGTCTTTTCCTGAACAGTTCTTGGGATTTTGTGTCTGTTCTAAGCTTTGTCAGTAAGAGCCTTTCTCCTTTGCGTCTGTGATGAGGGGTGATAAAATGATGCCCAGTTGGCATGATGCATCCTTTATGTAATGAAGAGAAAAAAGTTCAAAAACTGAAGAAAGTGTCTAGGAGCAGTTAGAGATCTATTCTGTAGAAAATTCTAAACAGTTTAACTGAACAACTATTGTGGTTTGGATATAAAATATTCCCCATAACTCTTCTGTTTAAATAATTAATCCTAGCTCATAGTGCTATTTGGTGAGGTTATTGAACCTTTAAATGGTAGGACTTCTCTGGAGGAAGTAAACCACTGAGGGAAAGTTTGAGTTTGAGGGTGTGGTCTAGCCCCAGTCTGGGCTCAAATTCCGTCCATCCTGACTTGGGTGAGATACAAGAAGCAATGGCCACCCTCTTCAGCTGTGCCTTCCCTGCCGTGATGGACTACATCCCTGAAACCATGAGCCCAAACAGCCATTGCTCCCCAGTACTGTTTCTATCTGATATTCTGTCACAGCAAGTGGTCAAGTTCTTGCTGGGGAAGTCCCTGTTGCTGAAACACCAGCCTGTGTGGTTCTTAGGCCTCTGGAAGTGGTTTGCAGGAGGAATGTGCAGGCGCTTGCTGCTGTTATCTAAAGAAGCTGTGGGCTGTAGAAAGCGGGGTTTAATGGTCCCTTCTGACTGGAGTGAGGAAGAACAGAATTCCAAGAGAAAGAGAACCAGTGAGGTCTGAGCTTGTGGATTTTCAGAGAGGACAAAGACTTCCACAGATTGGATTAAACACCCTCCCATTACAACCTGGCAAAAAACCTGGCTGCATTCTGACTATATCCTGTGAATTTGAGTGGGGATAAATGTAAGATAATTAGGCATTATTATTGGTGGGGGTGGCAGAGAAGTAATGTCAAGACAATATAAAATTTACCCTGTGGAATGATTATTATTCACTGTATTTAGGGAGGTTTGGGGTAAAACAAAATAATCAAGTAGAAATAAAGAGGGAAATTGAGGGTTGAGAGAAAAGAAGCATGAACCCAGTGAGGTGGACACAAATAAACTGATAAATTGTTTGTGCTTGTTAAAAAGATTAGCATCATTAAAACAAACCAGAGGACAGTGAGGTGGCTCAGTAGCTAAAGGTACCTGCTGCCCAACCTGATGACCTGACTTTAATTCCCTTGAGACCCATATGATCAAAGAAAAGAATCAACTACTACGTGTGGCCCTCTGACTTCCATATCTATGCAGTGGCATATGCCTCACCCCACAAAATAAGTACATGGGAAAAATTAAAGAAACTGGGGACTTTGAACCAGACAATTGGGAAGGTGCCATGAAGGCAGGAGTCCACCCATCAAACGATGAAGATATAAAAATGTAAATTTAGTTGGGAGCATAAGATCTGAGAAGATGGAGCCTCCACAGCTGACGTAGCTGTGGTCCAAAGGAAACAGGCCACATCTCAAGCTGATGCCAGAACTTGTCATCATCCATGTTGTACTTGTGCTTTGGGATGTAAAATTAAAGGGTGATGAGGACTTTGGACCTTGAGTCGGGACTAAAGGAAGCTTCTGAAGCATGTGTAGGAGAGTTCCTATAGAAAGTGGTGGAGGGGAAGCCTGGGTGGCAAGGGAGACTGCGGTGAACAGGGGTCAATCACAGAGGAAAGCTACAGGCAGAGTGAGGTCAGCTCAGGGGGCCTGAGAGGCTGTCCACAGAGTTAAAGGGTTTGCTCGGTACCTTGACTGATAGGATTTGATGCATTGGTCTGATCTCTCCTTGCTGTGCCCCACAACTCCCTTTAAAAATGGGAATGTGTGCGTGTGTGTGTGTGTGTGTGTGTGTGTGTGTGTGTGTGTGTGTGTGAAGTATATAACTTATTCTTCTGTTTTACATGGGTTAATGACTGTTAATAAATCCTGTTTAATCTGCAAGACTATGTGTGTACTTTAGAAGTTGGAATGTGTTACAACAGAGTTTTCCTGGGGAGATGCAACATGCATGCATGCACAAACAGGCCTATTTACCCTAGAAAGTGAATCAAAGTAACAGTTGTATCAAAGTCCAACTTGGTGATCCAATGAGTTTTATTAGGGTTACTAACAGTAATATAAGTGAGGGATTGCTTACAAGGAGCAAAGAGGCTTCAAAAGAAGCTGCATCACCAAAAACCACACCAGTGTGGGTTACAGCTCAATAGTCTGGGGTTTTCTCCTCTCTACAGTTTAGCTGATCAGAGTCCTCTCCCTCAACAGTTGGTTAGTCTTTTTTATATTGTAGAGGAGTAGTCTTTTAGAATATTCCAAGTTTCTTTTATCTCAGACATGTGGTGAGCTGAGTTCCATGAGCTGAGTCCCCTGACTCCTAAAGAGTGTGTTTCAACTACAGAGAATGAATGGTTCAGTTCAGACGAGGCTGCTATGACAGACGAAATGGATTTTGCATTATGATAATGTGACCAGCACATGGAGACTAGGGCCAGAATGTTACATATGACTGGGGTTTAAAATGTCTTTCCTGGGTTCGTGTGTTTGAACTCTGGGTCTGCAGTTGGTGCTCTTGGAGAAAGTTGTGAAACTTTTAGGAAGTGGAAACCAGCTGAAGGAAATGGGTCTCATGGAGTAGGGCTTGAAGATTACAGATTGGTGCTAATCTCTTTCCTTCCACGGAGTTGTAATAAGCAGAAGCCGAATACTTTTGCTACCATAAAGCTGCACTGAATGCCTCCCTTGCTGTGAGGGACTCATTTCTTCTCATAAGTTGTTTCTATCAAGTATCGTTTCACAGTAATGAGAAAAATGACTAATACAGCACTGTAAACTGCTTGCTATTGCCTACGACATTTAAGCCATTTTTATTTATTTTTAAAAGCCAGAATTTAAAAAAAGAACAACTTTGTATCTAGTTTGCACTGGTTTATTATTATTATTACTGTGGTGATTCTGTTAGAATGCTCAACTACCAGCCAATATGAGAAGAGGACTAAAAACAGTATTATTGCATCAAAATCAGTTGGCTTTTTGTTCCTCTTTGCTAATTAAAAAAAATATTTCTTGAATTCATCATCATAATAAATTATACCACAATTGAAACTTGTAGGTGTAACTAACCGTCTTATTAAATAAGAAACACAGAAACAATGTAAAAGAGAAAGCCGAGAGGTCAGAGCTCAGAGCTAAAATCTCACCCTTCAGGCTGCGGTGTCCCAGCTTCCCGAAAAGAGACCTATTTCCTGTCTGTTCGTCTATTTATAGTATTTTGTTCTGCCTTCTCATTGGTTGTAAACCCAAACACGTGACTGCCTTGTCACTGCCTGTATGTACAGCCCCCTAGGTCTTAAAGGCATATGTCTCCAGTGCTGGCTGTATCCCTGAACACACAGAGATCGATGGGATTAAAGGCGTGTGCCACCACCGCCACACTCTTGCTATGGCTCTAATAGCTCTGACCCCTGGGCAACTTTATTTATTAACATACATTCAAAATCACATTTCAGTACAATTAGATTACCACCACATTTCCC